CTCTCTAGAGTTTAAACCTCACATCTTCAAAATCTCCACCCAGTCATCACAACTAACGTTGACTCCTTGATATGTACAACAGAAAGCAGCAAATTTTCAACTACCCAGCATTAAAGTGACTGCTTAATAAAAAGCAAGCTATTCTGGCATACTAAGGTAAACAAAGGAACTACCAGCTCCGAATGAGTAGTAACGGAGAAAGTCCACATTAACTGTTTAGTGGGATGTACGCTCTGTTTTCAATCAGGCAAGCAGTTTACGATAAACTTCAAACAGTGATAAAAGCTGCCCAAATGCTGTCGGAGATTTCTGCTGCTGCCGTAACACATTGCCCCCGATGTTGCAGCTTCAAGGGGCAGCTATTGATGCTCTTAGAGTTCTGAAGCTCAGAGTTCCCCCAGGCTAAAATTGAGGGGTGGTCAGGCCTTTCTGGAGGCTCAAGGACAAGCCTCTTGTCTTTTCCAGATTTGAGAAGCCACCAAATCCCTCGACTTCCGGCTCCGCCTTTTCCTCAAAGGCAGCAATGCGCGCTGCACCTTTTTCCTGTTGCTTCCCTCTGGCCCTGATCACCTTTTCTCTCGCCCTCATTCACAGTTAACAGTCTCTGCGATCACATCTGGACCCACCCAGATAAGCCAGAGTATATTCTCTGCATCTTAAGGTCAACGGATGAGCAGGTATTAATTGTAGATGCAACCTCCTCCGCTTAGCACCCTAAGGTAATGATAGTCACTGTCTCCTGGGTTTGGGACTTGCCGTTCCCTCCGCGTGCGGCTGTGCATGCCTGCTAAGCAGCTTCAGTCGTGTCCGACTCTTTGCGACACCATGGGCTGTAGCCGGCCAGGCTCCTCTGTCCATCCATGGGATTTCCCAGGCACAAATCCTGGAGTGTGTTACCATTTCCTCCGCCAGGGGATCTTCCTGACCCAAGGATCAAACCCACATCTCCTGCAGTGCAGGTGGGTTCTTTACCACGGAGCCACGTGGGAAGCCCTCCCTTCTCTGGGGGAGCCACTATTCTGCTTACAATAAATGTGTGTCTCTGGAATTAAGAATGGCTGTCTCTGTTGCCATGCCAACATGTAAAGCTTAGCTGGCACATGACTGGTAGTGAAGTCACATGGATCCATGGCTGATTCACGTAAATGTATGATAAAAACCACTACAATATTGTACAGTAATTAGCCTACAACTAATAAAAATAAATGGAAAAAAAAAAAAACCCCGAGTGCCAAAGTGGAATTTTGAATTCCACATAGCTGGTATCACCATACATCCATTTAATCAAAGGCACAGTTAGGAATTTCGATATGCCCTAAAGGAATCTCTTTGCAGGGACCAGCATGAAGCCATAATTTTCATGTGTTATTATAGAAGTACGGTTTCTTCATTTAGGAATAACCAGTAATTAAACATCTAAGCCTCCACCTTCATTGTCAAATGGATAGGAGTTATCTTTTTTTAAACGCACAGAACTCCTGGCCAAATAGGCTGTGATTTTCTGTTTCTGGAAACACACAGGCATGTGGCTTCACTCACCAGCGAAAATCCATTATTTATATATTATAGGGAGATCAATTTTAGCTATTCAGCCCGTATTAGATTTCTGATTGTCCCATCAAGATGGTGTGAGATATGGCGTGCAAAAGTGCTATAAAAATACCCAGGAGTCAACAAGTAGCACCGCCTTTATTCTTAAATTTAGATTGCTTCTCTGTTAGGCAGCATTTTTCACATGTTTTTTCCCCCTAATTCCTATTGAATACTGAACCACAAAGAAATGGCCGAATTGCTTATGGTTCCCATCCACGCAATTGCACACTCATGAGCCAGCCATCAAGGAAGCTATTGACTTTTCTTCCTGGATGGTCTAATTACGCTCTACCTCTCAAGGCTCAGACTGTGAAGAACCTGCCCGCAATGTGGGAGACCCGAGTTAGATCCCTGGGTTGGGAAGGTCCCTTGAAGAAGGGCATGGCATCCCACTCCAGTATTCTTGCCTGGAGAATCCCATGGACGGAGGAGCCTGGCAGGCTACAGTCCACGGGGTCACAAAGCGAGGGACATGCCTGAGGGACTAACACCTTCACTTTTTCAAAAGGAGGCAGCCTCTTTGAAGCGCGCTTCTTATTTGGCAGGGCAGCGCTCTCAAGTTAACCGTTCATAAACACCTGCATGTCAAATTTACTGTGAAAGCAATTTTAATCTTTTACCTGGGTTTGTTCCCTCTACCCTGCCTCCCCTTCCATCTTTGTTTTAATTACTTCGTGTGGACAGCTCATGATGAGAAAGTCCAGGACTTAGGTGGCTTTGAAAGGCGAACCCTTAATTCGCTTGGGGTGGGATTCTCCATCCTTGTCGATGCACCAAGGAGGTACTAGGAGCTGCCACATGCAAGGACAGCTCAGTGCAGGGCACAGAAGTTAGGCGTCCGGAGTCAGTTTAACCCCTTGAACCCCATTCAGCCCTAGACTATGCAAGGTGATTAGTTCGTCTGTCTCTATAGCAACAAGAAGGCTGTCTCCATGCCAACCTCTGCTGATATGATGAAGCCCAACCCTTCCGTATCTTTCCCTGGACATCCTCTGTCATCTCCCTAACAGACGCCTGTGGTCTGGTTTCTCCTTAACAGTCCTCACACCATCTCCCTGCGTCCACCCTGAGAAAGACCCACATGGCGATGCGATGCAATTCTGGATATCCCTGAGTAATGTCATTGCTTGTGGCCAGACTCTCAGTTGAGTCTCATGAAGAAACATCTCTCAAGGATTAAAGGGGGTGGGGGTTGGGGGGAGGAAGACAAAGGTGTACGTGAAAGTTACCAAGGAAATGGATGCACTTTGGTTTTCAGAGTAGACGAGGACGGCTACTATGACGCCTCTAAATTCTAAATTCCAGGAAGATTGCAATCTACCCCTTTCCTTCTCCTTGTATGAAAATAGCACATATAAATAAGAAACCAAAAAATGGGCTTACAGGCTTACACTGTAGCCAGACTTTGGTCTGGTTGGTCTTTATCAAACGGTTTAATCCAAAGTCTTCACGAACAAAGAGATAGCCAAGTTCTACTAGAGTGGGATTAAGTTATAATAATATATGGAACGTGATGGCTTTCACAGACTTTCTCTGCTGTGTTATCCAAACAAAAAAAGAGGGTCATATTGTTCTAGCGAGAACATAATTTTTCTCGTGGATCTAGCCTGACTTCAGTCTGGTTGGCCTTTTGAAGTCTGCACAAAGAAGGACATACACAAGTTTTACAAACACTGGATTTAGAAGGAACATTACTGTTACCAAGAGTTTCACTGCTGAGTTATCCAAAAGGAAAGTGGGCATTGGGTCCCAGCAAGAACATTATTTTTCTGACATAGCTAGACTGTTCTGAAGACACACATCGGCCGATTGCCGGTAGCGACTACTGGAAGGAAATGACGTCCAAGTTAACGGCGACGACGTGGCTTCTAAACAATCAAGTCCAATCGTTGTACCTAACTATCCCTGGCTTGTGTGTTTAAAACACCTAGTGGTTCGCCTTCAGACTCAAAAGGAAAAGTGCTAGCATCTTACGACGTTAAAGCCAAAGGCACTATTCCCGATACAATTTTCAGTGGCTCACTGAAGGCTGATCACGTTAATTGTATTAGTTTCTTTAGAGTCACCTTTTACAGGTGATCCCAGCGTAACCTACAAGACTATACGCTCGCATGGGTTCTCATCTACAAATAAGGATGACAGATATACCACAAAGGCAATGTAGGAAAGAACTAAGCCATTCAATACAGGACCGTCCAGCTGCGTTTAAATACACGCTGCACAACGTCACTCGTGGTGACCGCACTGTGAATATGAAAGATAATAACTGGGTCATAGAGATGAGGGTGCACAGGACGTGATAAAAGGCTGCCGGCACACGGGGGGAGGCTGACCCAGCAGGCGTGCCGGCCCAAGACGGGTACTCACCGTCCTCCGTGGGCACGTAGATGTTCAGGTAGAGACAGTCTTCATTCTGGTCCTGCACGTACGTCATCAGGGTGTCCAGGTTGGCCGTGAACCACACGGGCAGCATGTCGTGGAGGAGAGACCTCTCGTCCAGGTGCTGGGGGCAGACGGCGGCGAACTGCGTGGCATTGCGGACCCCGGTCCACGAGGACGGGGGCTCGGGGGGCTGGAAGCGCCTCTCCCCGGTGGGGGGCGAGGCGTAAGGGACGCCCAGGTACTGCTCCACGGGGCCCAGGATCTCATTGGGCAGCGGCGTTCTCAAGCCCCGGATCTTGCCGTAGTTGGTGCTGACCACGGGGTACTGGGCCTGGCTGTCGATGAGCGTGAACTTGACGGCCAGGGCGGTGATCCACAGCAGGACGTTGGAGTTGACCATGACGCAGACAGGGGTGAAGGCCAGCGGAAGCCATAACAGTCCCTGGGGTCTCGACATGGCTCACCCGCACATCCAGGGTTGGGGAGGGGGGTGGCTGGGTGGGGGCGTCCAGGGGAGGAGACTCTGAGAAGATGAGGACGGGAAATGGGGGGGCCCTCGTGGAGGGAGAGGGGCTTCCAAGGACCGAGAGCTGGGAGAGGCGAAGGGCTTCCTGCAGACGCACTCCTGATGGGGCATAGACAGAACCCACGGTCAACAGCCAGCCCGCCGGTGGTCCTGGCCTCCCATTGCAAGACCGCTGCGCTGCCTTAATCTTCGGACCTGATTCCCGCCGCTACAGGGCTCCAAAGAGGCCGGGGCCGTCCAGCACCTCCCAGCAACAGCGATCCTTTATCAGAACGCCGACGCAGAGCGGGCAGCCTAAAGGGAAGGAAAAAGCAGACACAGATGATGAACGGAAGCTTCCAGGAAACCCTACACATCACTCCAGAAAATCCTTTCTCACCAATCAGTCTAGTGCAGCACCTCTCCAGGCGGCAGACTCCAGCCAGACGGTGTCCTGACTTAAGTTCCACGGTGAACTCCACCACACGCTGCCTTAATCTTCGGAACAGATTCCCGCCGCTACAGGGCTCCAAAGAGGCCGGGGCCGTCCAGCACCTCCCAGCAACAGCGATCCGTTATCAGAACGCCGACGCAGAGCGGGCAGCCTAAAGGGAAGGAAAAAGCAGACACAGATGCTGAACGGAAGCTTCCAGGAAACCCTACACATCACTCCAGAAAATCCTTTCTCACCAACCAGTCTACTGCAGCACCTCTCCAGGCGGCAGACTCCAGCCAGACGGTGTCCTGACTTAAGTTCCACGGTGAACTCCACCACAGAGAACAAAATATTCCAGGAACCCTCGAGACTACCTTACATGAACCACGTCAGTACAACATGTATTGAAGGCGATGCAGACAACTGTATGGACGTCTAATTTGATTCTTGGGCTTTCCCTGGTGGCTCAGTGCTAAAGAACCCGCCTGCCACTCCAAGAGACGTGGTTCCATCCCTGAGTTGGGAAGATCCCCTGGAGGAGGGCATGGCAACCCACTCCAGTATTCTTGCCTGAAGAATCCCATGAACAGAGGAGCCTGGCTGGCTACAGTCCATAGGGTCACACAAGGTCCTAAGTGTACCAACTAAACAACTACAATTTCACTGTTTTTGATATTAGCCCGTCAATGGACAGGCACAACCAAAACACTGTCTCTCGGATGTTTAAGAAAACTGTCACTTTACATATAAAATAGATAAACAGGAACCTACCGTACACCTCAGGGAGCTATGCCCAATATTTGATAATAACAAGCTATACGGGAAAAGAATCAGAAACACATATACACACTCACACACATATCTAGCTGAATCACTTCACCGTATACCTGAAGTTCGCCCAACACTGGAAATCAACTATACTTCAGTAAAAAAAAGTAATATTTGAAAACAAAAGCATCACTATGCCCTAAGATATTATGAGTGGAACTCTGAAAGTCTTCTAAGATGTGTAAAACGTAGGTGTGCATCCACACCAGATAGGCTTCATGCCGTGTGGACATTTATCAGCCAATACAAAGGCATGCCAGGGCGGGGCTTCAGTCGTGTCTGACTCTTTGTGACCCCATGGACTGTAGTCTACCAGGCTCCTCTGTCCATGGAATTTTCCAGGCAAGAATCCTGGAGTGGGTTGCCATTTTCCTTCTCCAGGGGGATCTCCCACACCCTGGGGTGGAACCCACGTCTCTGAAGTCTCCTGCATTGGCAGGCCAGTTCTTCACCATGAGCACCACTTAAGAGGCCCAACACAAACGGAGCACCAAATTGAAAGAGTCTGCTAAAACCAAAGACGTAAGAGACACAGGTTTGATCCTTGGGCCGGGAAGATCCTCTAGAAGAGGGAATGGCAACCCACTCCACTATTCTTGTCTGGTGAATCCCACGGACAGAAGAGCCTGGAGGGCTACCGTCCATAGGGTCACAAAGAATCGGAACACGACTGAAGCGACTAAGCATGCATGCAGACAATGAATACTTATCGGTTTTGGGCAGCTCAATAGCAAGCATCTAGGCTCCAGATATCGTTGCCCTGAACCTTAGCTTCCTTGAAAGAGACAGAACAACATGGTACATCTCCAGTACCATCATCAAGTCATGCAGCCTGTGGTATCAAGTCATCATTCATCATCAAGAGCGTTGGTGCAGCGATCCCGATTCTTCACGTCAAATACCGCCTGCCTTCGAGAGGAGAGCCTGCAGCCTATGGAAGAAGCTGATGACACATCTAAGCTTTCTACCTGTGGAGTTTGGGAGGAGCCCACTTTGAAAGAGTGACATCCTTGGGAATGAATTCCCTGGCGGTCCAGTGATCAGGTCTCCACGCCCTCACCGCCAAGGACTCGGGTTCAATCTCTGATTGTGGAACAGTCATCCACAATCCTGCAAGCTACTTGCTTCCCCTCCACCTCCCCTCAAAAAAAAAACAAAAAACCTGACCATCTCAGTGTGTCTCAGTGTGGATCCCATGACTCTCAATAGATAAGGGATGTATGATATTCATAAGAATGACACATCTGAGCATTACAAATAATGCATTAGAGACAGAAAATATTTCAAGTGATGATCCAAGGATGCTACTTTTTAAAATCAACATTTTCTACGGAAGTGTACAGTTGATTATGGGCTTCCCAGGCGGCTCAGTGGTAAAGAACCTGCCTCCAACGCAGGAGACTTGGGTTCGAGTGCGGTGTTGGGAAGAACCCCCGGAGGAGGGAATGGCAACCCACTCCAGTATTCCTGCCTGGAGAATCCCACGGACAGAGGAGCCTGGTGGGCTACCGTCCATGGGGTCGCAAGAGCCGGACACGACTTAAGTGACTAAACAATATAGCTGATTATACTGTTGTGTTAATTTCAGCCTTACAGCAAAGTGATTCAGTTATAACTTTACATACTTTAATGATCCTTTTCATGATGGTTTATCATAGAATACTGAATACAGGTCCCTGTGCTATACAGGGGGATCCTGCTTTCTCTCCATTCTGTATATAAAAGCTCGCATCTGCTAACCCTAACTTCCGACTCCATCCTTCCCTCCACCTCCCCACTGTTGGCAACCACCAGTCTTTTCTCCACCAGCTGCTCAGTCGCTCAGTTGTGTCCAAGACTCCTTGTGACCCCCATGACCCCCACGAGGCTCCTCTGTCCATAGGATTCTCCAGCCAAGAATACTGGAGTGGGTAGCCATTCCCTTCTCCAACTCTCCATCAGACCCTGCCTTTGAAAACATAGCACTCTGCAACCCAGAATAGACGAATGTGTTTCTAAGGACACGGTGGGTTACTCAACAGTCTTTCTGGACCAGAATGTAATTATGCATCTCATTTCAGGGAACAGGGCTGAGCAAAATATGTCAAACAGATAATTTACTTTTTAATGAAACATAGCTGAGCCAGATCTGTCTATCGGGGAGCTAGAATATCCCTGGGGGAAGCTCCGCCATCCGTGACATCCCGGGCCGAGCTAATCAGAGCTGGATGGAAACACACGAGATGCCGGGTGGTAGCATCAACAGGGAAAACTCCTCATCGCACCCAACGGCTGATTGCTGTGTCTGCGTCTATGTTTGCACTGGAGACCACACTTGGATTCCTGCCACGCGGTGATCCAACTGCTGAATAATTCAGGGACAGAAAAGAATAGGGCAGAGGTGTTGAGTTGCTTGGACACTCTGATCCTGAAAATCCTTTTTGGTTTAGAACCAGCCTCGGCAGATCCTTCTCAACCCTGCCTCACGGTCATAGGAGGTATCAGTCATATCCGATTCTGATAGACTTGGAAGTGGCCAGATGCTACCTCTGTGTAGCGGGGAGATGTGACTCAACCTCTCTGAGCTTTATGTGGATGGCATGTCATGCCTTCTTCAGGGGACTGGGGTGAGCCAAAGGGTCGGGGTTTAGAAAACGTCCCCTCAATATCAGGAGATGCTGGTGTGTAGCTGCTTTAGAATGTTCAACTACTTGAACACTGAGCAAGGGTCAATGAGTGAGCCTTGACCCTTTGGTTTGATTGCTTTAGAATGTTCAACTGCTTTCTACTCTTTGGCAAAGTGAATCAGCTGTACATGCAGACAGATCCCCTCTTATCTGCATTTCCTTCCCGTTTAGATCAACACAGAGCACTGACTAGATATCCTTATGCTGGACAGTAGATTCTCATCAAAAAGTGAAAGTGCTGGTCGCTCAGTTGTGTCCAACTCTCTGAGACCCCATGGACTGTAGCCCACCAGGCTCCTCCGTCCATGGGATTCTCAGGCAAGGATGCTGGAGAGCGTAGCCACTCCCGTCTCCAGGAGATCTTCCCAACCCAGAGATTGAACCCAGGTATCCTGAACTGCAGGCAGACTCTTTTCCATCTGAGCTACCAGGGAAGCCCAACAATACTGGAGTGGGTAGCCTATCCCTTCTCCGGGGGAACTTCCCAACCCAGGGACTGAACCTGGATCTCTTGATTTAGAGGTGGATTCTTTAGTGTCTGAGACAGCAGGGAAACCCAGGTTCTCATTAGTTATCTATTTTATAGATAATATCAATAGTGTATGTACATCAATCCCGACCTCCCAATTCATCCTACCCTTTCTTTCCCTCTTGGCATGCATACATTTGTTCTCCATGACTGTGTCCCGATTTCTTCTTTGCAAGTAATATCATCTGTACCATTTTTTGGCATTTCACACATGCATGTTAATATGCAGTATTTTCTTTATGTCTTTCTGACTTGACATGTGGGGAGTTTGTACACACAGCTGCTCAAAAGGCTCCTGAACATAGAAGTAAGATGCACTGAAGTCATCCCCCTATTGGCATGAAGCACATACAGAGACAGAGCGAGGACTTTAAATTATTTGAGCCTCATTTCACTTCCTTGCTTCTAACTCTTTGGGGGAGTAACTGGGTTAGCTTACACAAGGCACCACACCATCCCTGGAAGGCAGCATTCCATACAAGGAGGATTCAGTTGATGCTTTCGAACTGTCTTGCTGGAGAAGACTCTTGAGAGTCCCTTGGGCTGCAAGGAGATCAAACTAAAGGAAATCAGCCCTGAATATTCACTGGAAGGACTGATGAGGAGGCTGAAGCTCCAATACTTTCGCCACCTGATGCGAAGAGGCGACTTACTAGAAAAGACCCTGATGGTGGGAAAGATTGAAGGTAGGAAGAGAAGGGGGCGACAGAGGATGAGATGGTTGGATGGCATCACCGACTTGATGGACATGAGTTTGGGCAAGCTCTGGGAGATGGTGAAGGACAGGGATGCCTGGCGTGCTGCAGTCCATGGGGTCGCAAAGACCTGGACACAACCTAGAGACTGAAGAACAACGAAAAGCACCCAGGCAGGGAATCGGTCCCAGGACTGACAAGGTGTGCACCTTGAGGAAGGCTGGTCCACTCCATCATTCCTCTAGCTCCACATATGAGAACACCTCTGAGACATGTTGCTTACGACTGAGCAAGTGGGGTCACACGGAGCCTTCATGCTTGAGTCCTATGCTCAAGCCAACCTCCCCACAGGGAGCCGGGGGGCCACAGAGAGACCAAGACCCAGCAGGACATTGGAGGAGGAGCCCGGCGTTGGCGTGGAGTGGGTGGGGCATTACACCAGGCTAGGGAG